CCCCAAAACCCCAAAACCCCAAAACCCCAAAACCCCAATGATTAAAAATCCTATTGAGTTATTATAAATTTAATCATGAGTTTCCAGGATGACGAGTGCGAGAGAAAGTCAATAAAAACACTGACGGTTGTGTTATCAATCCTCCTTGCTATTACTGGGCTCTGATCAATATTTTTGGTGATCTCAACAATTAGGTTTATTAATAAATTCAGATGAAGGAAATAAACTTTTCAGCTTGTTCCTTATAACACTCAACTCCGCCCTTATATTCAAGATGGTGTATATAGGAAGAATGCTTTACGTACATCGGCCATACAACTGACTGGATGAAAGGGACTGATTCAAGATAATTACCTCATTAGGTCCTATCTGGATGCTCTGAGCTGCTGGAATTCTAAACAATTGCAACTGGGCTTTATTCTGATTCTCTGTAAAATACTTCGATAAGAAAAATACCAAGTTTTACCAAAGAGTTAAATTTTTACTCTGTAGTTCTTTCTTTGTTATAATCATCATAATGACAATTGCTTATGTCACAGCTATGAGTATTGGGTGAGCAAACCCAAATCCAGTGAACCAGACCCTTCTAAAATTCATTGACTGGTTTGGCATAGTCATCCACTTCATTGTGTGCATCTCTTTTGTTATTACAGGGCTAATCTTAAAATAAGGTTATCAAAGATTGGAATGAAGAAGTTGGAAGGAAATCACGGAACCGTATTATTATTTCTATACTGGTTCTATCCATCCCCTTCTTTCTCAGAGTGATATACTTGATCATTAAGCGGACATATAACTTGGATCGGTTCATTACTCTTTCAATCATGAATGATACAGTTGGAGGACCCTTAGTAATATTTTTCTATATAATCCTTGCTGACCTAGTCCCAATTGGCTCTCAGCTTATCTCTTCAGTTGTGGTAGTAGATTCTAAAGATTTACATCTTCATAAGATTTATGACAAATATGTGGAGGAATCAACGACTATTGAGAACCAGATTTCAATCAAGACAATTTCAACATCTTCTCAAAATGGGAGCATAAGGGATTCGCTGGAGAACATCGATGGAAAGTCCCTAGTCTTAATTAATCACTCCAAGGATTCTGGTATAAGTTTTCTAGGACCTAATGAAGATGAGGCTTCAACAGATAGCTTGTACCGTGATGAGGTCTACTAACATCGGTACTATCTAGAGGATATGAGTCAAACTTTACCCCACCATATTCCCATTAAATCTCGACTCATATTCAATAAAATTCAGGTTTCAATCTGTTATCACCGAGAGGGGTTTTGGGGTTTTGGGGTTTTGGGGTTTTGGGG